AGTATATACATACATATATATTCAGTTTTACAGCATGGCTGAGCAGCTTTTATACACGTAACTGCACTGCTTTCAAAAGGGTTATCTGACTGCTAAGCAATGAAGCTACTAAAGGAAATCATGCCCAGTGGACAAGTTTACTGTTTTTAAACAATCCTTTCAATATTTATTTTCTTATATTCTACCCCTTAATCCACTTAAAATAGTAAACAATCCTTTAACAATCCATTTTAAAGCCAACATCAAGTAGAAGAACTCCAAACCAATAGCTACATAGCCTCTAGCTTGGAATTGCTGCTACTCAGCCTAGGAGGAGGAGGAGGAGGAGGAGGGAGAGGGAGAGGGGCGGGGGGGGGAGAGAAAGCAAGAGAGAGACTGCTCAGATAGCTTTCTCCAAAACATACAGTATGTGAAAAGTAAGAGAAGAACTCTTAAAGTGTATCCCAAACTTATATAGAAATTGTGTCTGTTTGCCACCAAAGAATACCGCAAACAATTGTTTGGACAATGTTCTGAAATTGTTAGCAATCCTGCAATCCTTAATGCACGCCATTCCCAAGAGATCTATAAAATTTCATGGAGAAAGGAAATCATACTCTTTGGACAAGGATACATGCATTTGGCTTGATTTCATGCAATAGTATTTAGGCAAAAAACTTGTGATATGTGCATAGCAGGCCAATGAGAGACCCAGAGACATGCACTTGAGGTGCTGGAACACTCCTGTATATCTTGCTCACTACAAGCATCTGCTATGCTTAAGGCCACATAGGTTTCTGTACACACAGAGGTACAAATCAGAGTATCTTGTTGTAATGAATGTCATAGCTTTAACTGCATCATAAAATAAAGCAGTATTCCTTTTTGACAGTTCTGAACCTCCCACCATTAGGCTTCAATTAAATGAATGTTTCTCAAACTTGAATTCTGGGAATTGAAGTCCACACATCTTAAAGTTGCCAAGTTTAAGAAACACTGAATTAAATGGTCCTTTATTCAAGTGTTATGACTGAGAAAAGAACTTTATTATATCTTGCATAATGTATGTCTCTCCTCATTTTTTCTCAACTCAAAACACTCAAACTGCAGTATTGTCTTAACAGAGAATTGCTATACTGCTGCTTTTATAACTGCAATGATATTGGCAAATTTATTTTTCATCCCCTTCCTAATGGTTCCTAATACAATTCCTCTGAACTTTATTCACAGTTGCTGCCCCTGATCAATCTCGAAATTGATGCAATCACACCAAACATAAGATATCTCCCTCTAGTTACTGTTAGCTCACTAACAGTTACCACCATCAATCTATTTGGAAAGTATTTTTGCCCCATCATACATCATCTTTATCCTTATTTATATTGAACTATATTTACCATGTTAATATTAAAGTAGCACATCTTATTAACATTTGCTTCTTGAGCCAAATAACTATAAAGCCATGGAAGAGATCACCATTTGTCTCAGAAAAACTGTGACTGTACTGGATGCATAATCCTTTACCCATCTTCTACCTTACCTGTGCAAAATCCTTCCTACTAGTCACAGTTCTCTCAGTTAAGGTTATAACTATTTAATCTGGCCTTCTGGGGGAAACGCCAGCACTTCTAACAGAATATATGAATAATACAACAGATATCAAAATCCCATTTATAAAAAGTGATGGTGCTTTATGTCATGTGATAAAACAATGAGGATATTACATTTCAATATCTGTGAAAGCAAATTCATATGGGAAATATATATTTAATATATTTAAACAGATAGTCAGATAATTAAATATACATGGTCCAATCCTGACTTGTCAGCAAATCTTAGTGAATTTACCAGGCCTATACCAATAAACATTTTAAATATTGCGTGTATAGACAACATATACTATAAGACAGGAGTAGGCAACATAATGCTTGTACAAATTAATCTGCTCTCAGGTATCTCCCTTGATGATCAGGCTTACTAATATATCTGACTTTTTAAAAACATTTTTTAAAAGAAAAACTTAATAGGCACGTAGCATTCACCTCTAGTGTCATAGCATATCATTGCAATATGCTTTTTGGTCCCACTCACATCTCACTAAGATGGTGGAAAGCACCCTAGAGACTTAGTTCACCTTCTGGTAAACAGATGTTTCTTGTTTTGTGACTGTCACATCCACCACAGCAGTAGGAGTCAAGCAAGAAGAAGAGGTCTAGATTGTGGCTGCTCTAGGGACGTCTGGGACAGAAAGAACCTCTATTTCAATTCTTATTGATTTAATAATTTTGCCCCCAAATTTTATTTTGACTGATTTTTATCTTGTTATAGTACATATTTACTACAGCCTGGCTTTATGCTCCCATAATTACATGTGATTGGCATTTAATGATACACATCCCACTGTTTAACAAATGACTTTTAAAAACTGTTTGTTATTTATGTGGCTACTTTCTTTCTACAATCCACAGACATTCAACGCAATTTCACGACACTACGCTCACATTCATATTTTGTATTGATATAATGCAGCAACTATTCATTATATTAGGCCCATAATAGATCTGTTCAGTAGCATTTACTGAATATTTTAAATTAGTGAATGTAGACCGCTATTTACACATTGCTCTTCTCTCCAGAGGAGCCTGGGGCAGTGCATAACATAATAAAAATATCAGATTACCACCCAAGAGTTAAATAACCCCAAAAGAAAATACATACAGGTAATCCTCATTTAGCAACTAGAATTGGGACCAGAAACTCAGTCATTAAGCAAAGCAGTTGCTAAGTGAAGATCATGTGACCACAATTGTGCTTACGATCTTATTTCAATTTTCCTTTGCTTCTTCCTATTTCTTTCAGCTGAACTGCGGTTCTTTCTCTTTGAGGGCATCTTGGTATGGGGTAAATAAACAAGTGAAAATAAGAGCAGAGAGATGCTACAAAAGTTGTAAATATGAGCACTGGTCACTAAGTTATTTTTTAGCACTGTTGTAACTTCAGCTTGTCACTAAATGAGGCAGTTGCTAAGCAAGGACTACCTGTGGAGGATACAACAGCCCTAATATTTATTTATTTATTCATTTATTTATTTATTTCTCTCTCTCTCACACACACACACACACACACACATGTCTGTCTGAGAATGGCTATTGGCTACTATGGTAGTATAGGTCACCAATATTCCCTGTACTTCTGGATAACTTTTCATTATCTGTATCATACAGACAGCTATGCTTTAGATCTGCTGAAACCATTATAAATTAAATGAATCATGGATAAGTAGCACCAATTCCAATGAATCTAAATCTTGCATAACTTAGTTTAGATACAATTCATTTTGATTATATATTTATCTAACAAACTTCTCCATAATAAAATCAGTGACAATGGTCAATGTAAACCCTTCCATATCATTCAACGTAATTCAATCCTATACTTGTGGGAAAAGCCTGGGGTATGAAAATACCAGGCATTTCATGCGTTAAGTCTTTTTTGAGCCCATTCTTTTAGCCATTTGTTGCTCTGAAGCAATAGTCTATGACTCATACAATATCCTGGGCCCAAACTTTTAGTCAAATTTCTTGAGGTCAACAGATTTGCCAAAAGATAAACATTTCCTCATGAATTGCCCATTAAAGACATTATCAGTTACTCATCCCAGCTATCTCACACTTAGCATCTTAGCATCACAGGCTGCTTTCATCTTCTCAGAGGCCGTCAGAGAAGACCAAACACCAATGAGACATGCACCATAATCCCCCTCCCCATCCATAAAACGTGCAGTCGTAAATGCATTCTTAGACATTCTGAATCACTCCTGTAATATTTGTAATGAAGGAAAAAACAACACTGCAGTGTTTTAAGTTTGCAATGGGGGGGGGGACACAAAGCATGAAGTATTCAGGAAAGTGGTTTCTTTCTTCATCCAGATGCCTTCTAAAATACAAAACCCGCCCATTCCTATTTTTAGCCTAAGGCTCTTTGTGTTTCTTCATTTAATGTGGATTTAAATGCTTCAAAAGCAGACATTGGTATCTGTGTGAGAGCCAATGCATTTTTTTTCTCTGCAAGTTTTTGTAAATGCATCATCATCATAAGAAAAAGTGGGAAAAAAAGACAGAGAAGCAAACATGACCACTACTTTCCCCAGCATTCTTTCTGATGAAGTGCGAGCTGTGAGGAAACCTCCACATACTTCATATCCAGTTCCAGCACTTTAAAGAAATGTCTACTGCAGCCAGTGAGATGGACAGCCAGAAAAACTAAGTATAGATACTCTGTAATTCACAAAACTTTTAGGAAGACCACGGACACAAATTTCTCCCAACACTCAGCTGGACAGAAATAAAGCAACCATGTCAGACTATACAAACCATATTTTCTCCAAAGCATTCTGCAAGCTGATTTTCCAAATTCTCATTATTCCTGGTTAGTTGATGACCCCTGGCATCTTAAGAGATAGCCTTGATAAAATATCCAACATCTTTCTGCATTATTTGTTAAGCCCTATAATGGTTTTGAAGGTCTTTCTCTCTCTCTCTCTCCTCTCAATGAAACTTAAGTATGCTCTCCCTGATCTTTCTCCTCCCCAGTCCCACAGTACTTGTGTTCCAACATAGGAAAAAAAGCCCATATGCTATTTTTTGTAAGAGCAATACAATGAACAATTCTTTTTAAATTGTCAAATGCTAGTTTATGTGTGAAAAATCACACATGTACCTCAGACCAAAACAGCTGTTGCCACACTGGCATCTTGAATGAAACTAAAAAAAAAAGAGGCCAGAAAGTACAAATAAGATGGGGTTGGAAAGCACGGCTCCAATTACTGAAAGATTAAGGATCAGTACAAGAGCACAGTCTTACTAGCTACGTGTGTGACCACATCACACAATTTGTGCTTCTATGAGTATATAATTGCTTTCATCTGACATCCTCCACCCACACTGAGGCTTATTCGCTTAATATATACAAAAAGCAAACTCTGAACATAGAAAACAGAACACGTAACCCTCTTTCCTTACCTTTTTTGTGTCTTGTTCACACCAGTGAACAACTTTTCCACATGCAGAAGCAAGCAGAACAGCTGCAGCTGTAACACCAGCACTTTGGGAAATGAAGTAGAGCTGTGCAGGTACTCAATAATATATACAGATTAGTCAGAGCAGAGAGCTCTACTTCATGACTCAGTGGTTCTTCACTAAAGCTTTCTAGCTCTAACAATTTCACAATAAAAGTCCCTTAAAGTTCCTGAGAATTCAAGCAGTCAGTTGCTAAAAAAGAAATCTTTGAAGTGGGGACAGAGGGATATACTGTCTTGTTTTATTTCTTCTGGGCTTCTTTTCTTAAGAAGTACATCCTGCTATTTTTTTTCTCACTGTCTCCTAAGAGCAAACAAGATTTTCAATATTTTTGTTAAACATCTTCATGAGGGGCTCCTGACTATACATTAGCAGCCTACTTCAGCAGTACTCTTCTTTCTGTAATGCTTTGTTTCTATTTCAATAACATACTACTGAGTGATCTCTAATAAACCAACCTTGAGAAATAAATAATGTAAACTCTCCAGATTTAGTGTTTGTTTTAAAATGGCAACAGATTAAGGATTTGCCATGGGTGCCTTGGATAACCTTCACAGCACACAGGATAAATAATTAAGAGTTTTACCTTAAAGATCAAGATATATATTATGGCATACATTTGTGAATTTACTTTCCTGAGGGAAGAGGATATCAGAAAGAAATTGAACTTCTTTAATATAAAGAGATTAAAGAGACATGCTATAGTTAAAAAACAAAATGCAACCTATGTATATCAGCTCAGAAGACAGACATTTTAAATTCTATGGGGCATATTCCTAGGAAAAGCAAAATAAACTAGGTGGATCAGAATACAAAATAATTCAAAATCAGTCTTAATAGAATTGCTTTATTAGGCCAAGTCAGAAAGTTATTAAATATAGAAATGTTGTATTACTTCATCAAACAAAAACTAGCTTGCCAGGGGAAGACTACCAATTCTGAAGTCACCAAGTCTTCATGAACAGAATTTAAACAAGATGTGATTGGTGACATAGACATTTAGTTTAGACTTCACTGGGATAAAGCAGTAACTGATCCCCATTTTAAAAAATATAAAATCCAACTGTACAGTACTGGAATCTACTTCTAGCATGACAGCAACCTTAAGCATCCAACAGCTTTCCAGTGCAGTACAGCAGTTGTTAAAACACCTTCTCTGGTGTAAACTCATATAAGTTTAAAGGAGCGTTTCTTATCCTCAAAATATGTTGAATTTCAGCTCCTATAACTTTCCGAACACTCTCTGACTTAGACTGAAACACATCTCACTAGGTCAGACAAAAATGATCTACAGGATAGATATGAAGGAATGGGGACTTCAGATCTCAAGAGTTGAAGTCTTTCTGTCACATATAATCTGGAGTTATTCCTCATAAAAAGGAATACCTCTCAAAGCTTCCAAATGACAACATAAGAACTACTTAGCCTAATTTGTTACTAATTGTAGATAAGAAGTGTGAATACCCTAAGCAGTATGGAGATTTTGTAAGAGGGGGTATGACCTTGCTAGAGGCCCTACAGACCAGGTGGGAGAGCCAGACAGGTCAAATCAAGTTCAAAGCAACTGGGTAACTTTGAGATGCTCTCCCTTTATATTATCTGAAACGCTAGGTTCTGGGTAGGAAATACCTGTCCCTTAAGCTAGATGTTATTTCCCCAATCTTAGGAGCTTCATTAGAAAGAGCATACAGGCTGCTCTGGCATACTTTTTCCACTTGCCCCATCTTCACAGCTAAGGATGGGTAAAGCTAAAAGCTAAGGCAAAGCTAAAGATGAGTAACTAAAACACATACAGGTAGTCCTTGGGTTATGATGGCAATTGGGACTGGAATTTCTGTCGCTAAGCAATGCGGTCGAAAAGTGCGATGTCACATGACCGCATTGCTTAGCGATGGTAATCCCAGCAATTCCAGTTGCCTTTGTAACAACAAGACTGTGTGGGTTGTTAAGTGGGAAGAGGCAGGAGTCCCAGTCAAGCAGGCTGGCAGGTGCACGGGTGGTGGTGGTGCTGCGGGCTGGTGCTCTGGAGTGCAAGTGCCACACAGGTGCCATGGGTAGATGCTCTGGAATGTGGGCAGGTGCATGGGGGGCAGGGGCTGGATGAAGGTGTTACGGAGCATGGATGGGTACATGGGAGCTGTGGGGGGGATGCCGCAGGCAGGTGCTACAGAGTGTGGGCAGGCAATAAAGCAGTGGGAGCAACTTCCAACTTTCTGCTGGCTTCCCCATTGACTTTGCTTGTGGGAAGCTGCCAGGGAACACTGGAAATTGCAATCACATGACTGTAGCTCATTGTGACATTGTAATTCCTAGCCAGGCGATTATCCGCATTAGAAATAATAATAATCTCCTTCATTCAACACTGTCGAAACTTTGGTCGCTGAGTGAGTGGTCATTCTAAGCATTTGATTCAAATTAGATTAAAAGAGGTTAAACATAATTTAAAACCTACCTCTTCACTGGTTTCACTCATAATTATCCAAATAAATTAGTTCAAATTCTTCTTAAAATGTGGAATTCAAAGCACTGTTAATACCTGAGAGAGGAGGAACACCCTATAGCTGAGTGGTAGTAACAAAATATTGATCCCCTAAATGTTGTAGATGGATGCCATGACCTTTGGAGATACTTTGAGAGTCTTACAATATGAAGAAGGAACCATCAAAAGAACTAAAGATAAACCACAGATTGCTGTTAAAAATATGCAATTCAAAAGAAGCAATAGTTTCAATAAAAACAAAAATAAAAATATGCACGAACACCCGCTACTTCTAATATAAAACAAACAATGGTATTTTTCACAGTATGGTGCTTGCAAGAGGGATGTAGGCCAGTGGTAGAGCACATGCTTTTCATTCAACAGGTCTCAGGTGTAATCTTCAACATCGCCAGGTAAGTCTGGGAAAGACTTCTGCTGCCAGTGAATATTGGCAATGGTGAAATAAGCCAATGACCTTACTCTGTATAAACTGCCTTCTGAATTCTAGCAGTGTTTAAGGGCTTCTTAGGGAGGCACAAAACCCTCTCCAGATGGCAGGAAACACTACAGCAATGTGTTCCAAACCATAATTAACTTGCTGAAGGTTAGCTTGCACAACTTAGTTCCCAAAAACTGACATCATCCTATGGCACCATTCTGTGAAGACCATGTAATAACCACACAAAATGATCTTTCATACAAGCTATGCTCACACATGTTAATTCATGGTTTACTTAATCATGGTTTGAAATAACAAAATTACCTAAGTTTGAACAACTCGCTGAACCATAAACATTTTATCTCATCATAATGTACAGGTATTCCCAGTTTAAGAATGAGTTCCATTCCCAAGGTCTGTCCTTAAGGTGAATTTGTATGTAAGCAGGAGCAGTATTGTATAATACTGTATAAGTTGTACTGTGTATTTAACTCAAATCATTGTGTATTTAATTCAAATTTTGCTACAATAGGCTCTGTTCTTAACTATGGGTCATCTATAACCTGGGCATTCTTAACCCAGGGACTACCTGTACATACATAGCAGCCATATAATAAAAGTGGCATAGCCAACAATATTCAAGACTGAAAAGCAATTTTGTTCTACTTGTCTTCAGACCTGCCCACAAAGCCTTGTGAACCAACCCTTGAGCCAATGAAAGTCACAACCTGACTTAAGGCAACTGAATTTTCTAATTGCTTATATGGAAATTTAAGAATGCAATACTTTCTCCCTGCAGGCAAACACCAAACACATGGTTTGAGGCCTGAAACTACTGGTACTCAACATAAGATTCTAGCCAAGCTTCAAAATTCTCATAAGTAACTTGAAGCAGAAACTTAAACTGAACTGCCTGCTATAGGATTTGTACGCTTCTACAGTACTATGCTTTCTTTGTATATTTGTAAAATGAACAACCTTCATGAAGATGCCGTAAGTCTCAATTACAACTTCATCCCAAAGGAAGCAAAGGCCCATACTGTAGTTTTATTCTTGCAGTTCTCTTATTGCTTGGGGAAATAAACAAGAGCATAGGAATGATACCCGAATGATTTTCTAACAGTACAACATGAACCAGTATCTTATTCCTTCATTCATATAACACTCCAGGGAAACAATTATCAAAATCTTTGAGCCAGGATCATGCAGAACTCTATCTATAATGTTCTGGACTCGTTGCAGAGGAAAAAAAAGTAATATTTTACAAGACAAAAACAACACTTTCAAGGATTGTGTAGAACTCTGAAGGGGTGCTTTGATTCAGCAAAACGTTAACTGAAGCACCCCTTCAAAGCAGCACTTTCCTTCAAAGTCCTAGATTAGGAGCAGCCACATTGCTTCAGTCAAGATGCTTAAAGGGGTTTCTGCACAAGTGCTTCTTTAATTTCATTTCTGGAACAGCAAAGTGGCTGCCAGATTGAATCAACTTACTTTGGAGATGCTGATTTGAAGCTAATAAAATTGCTTCAGTTCAGATTAGGCAATGTCTACAATACCTAATACTTAAACCATTTTTTTAAACAGGATTCAAACCATCAGTCCTAGTCTTCACTAAAGTTTAAGTTACATAGGTAGGTACAAAATTAATTCAGAAGTATCCCAACAGAACTTTGACAATTAATGGCATACCTTTATCTCACTGTTCTAGTTTTGTACTAAAAGAACTGAAGACCACCAGAACAACATGGTGATGATTTTTTAAAGCAATTTTCTGCAGGGGCTGCATATTTACTTGATTTTCAGAACTACTAGAAATTCTTCTGTCACCCATCCTGCAAGTAGAAGGCTAGGACAACCTTGTGCTACTCCTACACACATCTGAAAGCCATCAAGTTGAGAAAGGCTGGCGTTATTCATAGTTTAACATCTATGCCCAGGATGTATTACGAAACACAAATGATAGGCTCTTGTCCAAGAAACTGGCAAAATGTTAACAAAAGAAAAATAATCCAGGTAAAAGAATTAAATAAATTGGAAAAGAATGTATAATTATTTCAGTCATAAGTACTTATTAAACTTAGCAGACTTAGGGGACATGAGAATTGATGTGTTGTACTGAAGGCTTCCCAGA